GTTACCACTTTGGGTGTTACACCAGCGACCCACATTTTTTCTCAGGCCTCAGGTGTGGGTGACATGACAGTGGATTTATCTGCTTTTATATGTCGAGAGATCAAACGTTACATGGGCCAACCATTGGTCACAGACGTTGTGTAGGCTGATGAGGACTTTGATCGTCTTTTTCTACCTCCAGGGTTTGCCGCTCCTTCCCATTCTCAACTTAAAGAATGTCCTAGGCCTAATTAGGTCTTTCTGGATTTTGTGTCTCAGGTTTGTGATGTTTTATCCCTTTCACCTATTTCTTATTCACCTCATCCTTCCTTAATGCATGAACAATCTAACCAACCCTTTTTGGTTTTATGTTCCTCCCTTGATATTTGGGTTCATGCTGATTAGTTTACTTTGCAATTGAGTGTGGGGATTAGCATGCCATGCTCTCTGAGGACTTCTGATCAGTTTGCCTTTTCTTACCTTCGGGCAGACTATCCATTTTTATATCAGCAGTTGTTAGGTTCCTTGTTACATATTTAGGGGGTGGCTCCCAAATCAAATGTGAATCTTACCCATGCCCAATATTCTTTTCTGCTTTTTACCCTTAGTAACCTCTAACAGTATCTTCCATACACCTCCTATCGGAGGCTCTCATCAGAAATCCTGAGGGGTTTTCTGCAGATACCCTTGCCCTTCTCTCCTCCACTTTAGCCCACATACCATCTTCGGCTCTGGTGTTACATACATGGTTTCTTTGGTGTTGGGACTTTATAGGTGTTGATTTTGTATTGGCTTGGGTATGTTTTCCCTCGACATATCTCAGGGATTTATGTAGTGCCACATTTCTGAGATGTTATGTCTTTTATATGGTCCCAGAAACTATTGATCCTTACTAATATTGTAGCCCGTTTATCTTAAAGCACTTTGCATATTAATGTTCTCAAACTTCTAGCCATACATTGGGTGTTGCATCACTTCTTCTCACCTGACGTTGTCTGGTGATGGTGCATTTAGACAATTCTATGGTGGTGACACATTTCAACAACCAAGAGGGCACTCGGTCCAGAGATCTATGGTTTTGGACATTAGCTCTATTATACTGGGCCCACACATATCACATTCACCTTACTGCATGTCATGTGCCAGGTGCTTTCACTCTGGTTGCAGATAATCTTTTGTGCCCCGACTGGAGTGGGCATTAGATACCCTCATTTTCAGGGATCTTTGCCATCAGTGAGGTTTTCCCCATGTGGATGCATTTGCTATGGGCCTCAACACCAAGTTACCTCTCTTACGGTTGCCTGTACCTCATCCACAGGCTCTGGCAGTCAATGCCTTCAGCCAGAATTGGTCACACAAGTATGTTTATATGTACCCATCCATCTGATTACTTCATTCGATGGTTTCTCTTGTCCACTTCACTCCTTGTTGAGTCCTACTGATTGCTCCCTGTTGGCCAGCTCAGCCTTGGTTTCCAGTGGCTATTCCTCTCCCACCTGTCCCTCTTCCACTTTCTCCCTCTCTTCTTTGTTAACCTCGAACACGTGTCTTACATCCCAACCTTCATGTCCTGCATCTTCATGCCTGGATTTTGTCTGGCTCTTGGTGAGACGATCCGGTTTCTCATGTCAAGTTGCATCCTTGTTAGCAAGTTCCATCTTTCCATCTTCCGTGGAGGTGTACCAATGCAAGTGGAAGGTCTTACACAGTTGGTCTACTACCAGGGAGTTTCCCATTAAAAAACCTACCTTGGCTTGTGTGGTGGAATTTCTCACCTTGCTCTTCAACTGTGGGTCTTTAGTCTCCTCGTTTTCCATATAGTTAGTGGCCTTATCCCATACATTTTGTTCTTCCCGATACCATAGGGTTTTGACTTCCCCTGTTCTTACCATGCTCATATGTTCCTTCCAGATATATTGCCCTTCCAGATTGGGACTTTAATGTAATCCTACATTCCCTTACTTTACCTCTGGTTGAATCATTTTCCTCGTGTTCCATGTTTCATCTTTCTCTTAAAACATATCCTTCTTCTCTTAGCCTGTGGACATTGAAGGTCAGACTTGTTTGCCATTGACATTTCACGTACCCTTTATCAACCTACCTATCTTCTCCTTTATCTGGATCGTTCCTTTCTCCCAAAGACTTCGGCAGTTCAGGAGAGTGTTTCCTCATTTTCTGCTAATTCCCTTCCTTCTATTTCCTGTCTTTACCCTCAACTGGATCTGGATAGACTTCTGTGACCAGTCAGGACTCTTCATTGTTATGTAGCACATACTGCTAACTTCTAGGGTACAAGTTCCCAACTCTTTATCCCCTAGAAATGTTCCTCCCTTCTTGATCTTTCACCTTCTACCCTTACCAATTGGGTTCCCCTTTTGGTTTGAATGGCCTATTCTTCTCTACCTTCCTCCTGCCTGACTTTGTTTCAAGTGTCCTCCCATCAGATTTGACACTTCACTTTTTCCCTTGCTTCTTGTCTTCATCGTCCACTGGAGAAGATTCTGCAATCCAGCATGTGGACCTCTCTCAGTACATTCATTTCTCACTGTCTCCATCATATCGTGGTTTCCTCTTGTGGTTTCCTCTTCGTAAAGGTTTCGTCTACCACCTGTGGCCACTCTTCAGACTTCAGTGCGACTCTAACTGGTAAAGTTTTCTTCATACTTTTTTTCTTTCAGAGGCCTTTATCTAATTTTTTATCACATGGATCCCACTCTGTGGCAAGTGGTGCCTGATCAGGTATTCTTTAGCTCCACACTGTACAGCTATTTTGACTCCCGCTTTATCTTCCATGGCTTCACACGCTCACCGTGGAGTTGGGGTGTTCCACAAAATTGCTTGACAGTGAAGAATAACTTAGCGATAGTTTGTTTCATAAACATGCCCAGATCATACCACTTATGGACTGCATGGGTAAAGCAGAAGGGGATTGCTGCCCATCCCTGCCATGCCTAGAGTGAATAACTTGGTATTGTCTGCTTTTCAGAATAAGGTTTCATGGTCACCCATTGCACTGTCTCTGGTGGTGACACTCCTCTGGACTCTCCATCTCATTGTCACTCACCTTTCTTCGAGTGGAGTATGGGAGTCTTTACCACTGTCCAGTTCCAAGCTGCTGGGATGGTTGACCATGGAGGCACCCTGCTGAATGAGTTCCACTAAAGTAGGGTGGTGGTGTTCTGCAGGTGTAGATGATGTAATATCCTCCTATTTGTGATAACCAATACAAAAGAGGGAGAAGTCAGAATGCAGTTTACCCCCTCGATTGGGACCCCTCATGCTACCCTCGCGTGGATGTTGGTACCCCGTGAGGAGGTTTTGGATTAGAGTGAACCAATCAACATAAGTCTTCACATGTCTTTGGGTTGTCTATCTTCCTCCCCTGATTTCCTCCGTCTGTGCTTATTTATCATATTGGTAAAGTGGTTTTGATTTATGAATTTTGCTCGTGGAAGTTAAGACGTGTCACATGCCTTGATAATCAGGGATGTCTTTTGACAACTTAACAAAATGTAAAAAGGTAAGCACATAATGAAACAAAAAAATTTAAAGCATGCAAATGTATGTAAAAAGCATTTATCACCAAAAGGAAATAGACTATAATATTCCACTATACAATAAAAGTATAAAGAATTTATAATTCTCAGAAGTAACAGTTATTACAAAAATTGAATAAAATGTAAGTACTAATTAGAAATATAAATGCACAATTGTAAAATTATAAATAGTAACATACTAACTTAGTGTCAAGCATTTTGAAAAGTATTTATGAAATATAAAACTTGTATTTTGTTAAGCTGGCAGTTATTTTTACCACAAACTAAAATATTCAAAAATATATTTTGGCATCTTTCTCAAGTAATCCATTTTGGTATTAATTTTATCAACACATTGTGATAAACAAAATTTGAAACTTCTAGAACATTATTACTTTTTAATTTATAATCTTAATAATTGAAGTCTAAACCCTAAGTATTGGATTATAATGAGGCTTTGATATGTGTATTTCCCAAATCTTGGTAATACTCACATGCAATAGAATTTATCTGAAAGTATACATATGGCTGTTTGTAACCTAACAGGTCTGTAGTAATAATAAGTTGCCAGAGTGTAAACTACTATATGCATTTTATTGCAAAAGTGTTTGGCTTACTTGTTTGTTTTTGTTTTAAAAGTTCCTGAAACTACTTAATTTGATAAGTTTGAAATTCATAGCTGTTGTCAAATAATGTAATTTAATTATATTTGAACAAATGATCTACATGTTCTTTTGTTTTGTAGTTATTTGGAACATTAGTAATCATAAGATAGCCTCAAGGGCAGTGTTAGAAAATTAGCGAAAATTTTCCTGAGTGTTTTTAGTTCTTATTGGGTTTTGCTCTAAGGAAAAAAAGCTTAATCATTCTATAACAACTAATATGCAAATCTATCCTTATTGTAAGCTATAAAAAATTAACAAAATAAGTGAAGTTTGCATTTTTTATAGTTAGTGCATTTAGTTATTAACTATTACTATTCATTATATGAATGTTTTACTTTTCTATAGAGTAATATTTTTAGTTTTTGAAAATTAGGTATATTTTTTCAACTACATAAATGAATCAGTGTATTTATTTAATGTTGTTTCTTTCTTTTTTCTAATCTCTAGCATACTGTGATGTACAAAGCTAAGATTTGATATTATGTATATATAGGTGTAGTTGTTAATATGTTTGAGATGAACCCTTTCTTATTGATGGTTATCTAGTTGTGAATATTCTAATAAAGCAACAAAATAGGATTAAATAGATTTGAAACTGTAGTATAATTTTATATTTTTTGTATACTGTCTGTAGAAATTTTCAGTAATAGTTTTATATAAAGGAAAAGATAATTGCATTCATTATAGGAAAAATAAGTGTGAATTATATAGTTTTTAATTTACTTGAAAATTGCTGGATCCTTTTATCTATTTGAATTCCTCTGTTTTTTATAATACATTTTCTTTCTAAAACTCCATTTTTTCTGTAATTTTGAAACAGTTTGGAGATGGGGATTCCTACTTTAAAAGAAGTCGAAGACAGCTGGTAGATAAATATAGCAAGTTAAACAATAATGTAATTTGGCCAGAACCTTTGCAGTCCAATAACCAGAGGAGAGAATGTACACTCTTTATTCAGACAGACACATTTTTGTGGAACTACATCAAGAGTCATTTCAACAAGCACTTCGACACCAAAATCAGAGAGGAAATTGTTTCACTTGTTGCTCAGCATATTCATGCTATCAACCGAATATATGAAAACACAGACTTTAAACTATATAAGGGCATAAAATTTGTTGTGCGAAGATTAAAGGTATGAGGTGGTAAAATATCTATCAAAAGTATTTTGAAATAAACTGATTTTTGGAACTTGGAAATGATTTGGTTTAAAGAGTTTTTATTTCTATAAGTATAATTAAGTAATATATAATTATGTTTGTTTATTAGTTGAGTACTTTTCACAACTCATGGTTTATACTGCTGTAGACGTATGCAAGTATACTGTAGGTTCATATAGGTTGAGGAATATAAAATCTATAGGTATAAAAATTTGTTTTCTGGTAAATTGTATGCATTTTGTAACATAATATGAATAAGATATGCAGACATGCAAGATTTCACAGCATTTCTAACTTCTAAAAAGTTATCCTTTGATTTCTCTTAACTGAGTGACATTTGACCCATTATGCCATGCCCAGAAGCATCAAGATTTTTTGTCAATTTTATTTCTGATTTGCGAGTTTATGGGATACCCTGGGGTATAACATTGCCCAGGGGCATAGCATAACAGGTTATTTGATGATTAAATTATTGTTAAAAGGAACTTCATTTTTAGTATCTATTCACATTCTGCTAGATGAACTTGAAGTTATGAGATTTGCTGGTTTTTTGGATGAGTACCAAAAAAAATGTTAGTTATTATAATCTGTCTATAGGTTATCGTACAGTTAATACATATGTATGTTATATCAATAAAAATATATTAATTTGGTTGGATAAATACTGTGTATTATGTATTACATAATTCTGATATTATGTACAAAAACCTGCAAGATGAAATCGTTAGTGATTTACAGTACTATATATATTTTTTATTTGATCTTTCATCACATATTTGTAAGAAAAATAAATGTCTTAATACGGATAGATAGCATATAGATTAAAAGAATGTATGCTATCAGGAAACTATGTGCTTTAATTCTAACAAAGATAAAACAACGTAGATGATAATTTTTAGTTAGTTTCTTTGAAAATGTTGAATGATTTCAAATTTTGAAAATAGCTATGAGATATGGTTTGTGATAAAACATAATGCTACTGTTAAAGTTTTTTTTTAGAAATGTTCATGACTGTTTAATGTTTTCTTGTTTCAGATAAATGACACAAGTGCTTGTAATGAAACTAACAGGCACAGTAACCCATTTTGTGCTCCCAACATAGATGTTTCAAACTTTTTGAATCTTAACTCTCAAGTGAATCATACAGGATTTTGTCTGGCATATATTTTCACTTACAGAGACTTTACAGGAGGAACTCTTGGCTTAGCCTGGGTTGCATCTGCAAAAGGTGGGATTTTTTTAGTGTTGATAATTTTTTGTTTTGATGTAGTTCTGAAGTTCAAAGTTTCAGTTAATAATCCCAAAGTTCTATAATTAAAATAAAACTTTGTAATATGATAAGCCTAATATGTGAACTGTTAAATGTATCTTTAGGCTATGAGCAACTACTAAAGCCATCTTGAAACTATGGGATTGTAATAATAATATTTATACAAAATTTTTATGTTACTTTTATGATCATAACAGCCTTGCTTTTTTGTTCTTTGCAAAAACTACAAACATCTTTCTCTTTCAGCAATATCCATAGTTTTTATGTAACCTACCCTTCAATAATTAATCTGCATTGGTTCAAGTAATTTTTATTTTGGTATTTTTATTCTATTGGATTAAATAGTGAAGTCCTATTCATAATATAAACAAATGCTGGATATTTTCTGTTTCATGCACTGCATTCATATAGAAAAGAATACATATTTTTGAATGTAGTTTTTAATGCTGATTTCAGAAATATAAATTAAAATTTTGAGAATTGAAAAGAAATATTTTTAATATTTTTTTTTTTGGCTAGGTTAGGTCAGTTTATGTTTGGTTATATCAAGTTAAATGTTTATTTAAATAAAAACTAAATTTTGTTAACAAAATTCTTGAAAAAAAGAAAATATTTTCCCATTTCTTCCACTTTATAAATTAATTCTCCAAATTTAAATTTATTTTTCTGAAATCTGCAGCAAATTGAAAATAATTGGAATGTGGTTAAGAGATGTAACAAGTGACATAACAAGTTTGTTTGGCGTCATTGGCATGAAAATGATGATCTCTTCAATTTAAGAATATTTCTGTATTTTCGCATTGAATTTCTTACATTGTCACTACATACTTTGTATTGTCTTGATGTTTTGCAATTCTTTCAAATACATAGGTGTACATGTAATGCTAAAAGTACTTCCTTTGTTTTGTAAGCAAAATAAAAAAGAAAAAATGTTTCTTTTCGTTTCTCCAAATTTTAACTTATATTTCTGAAATCATCATTAAAAACTAAATTCAGAAATATGTATTCTTTTCTATTTGAATGTGGTGCATAAAACTTAAAAGATCCCAAATGCTAATGTGTTCAGCATTTGGCTTACTTTAGTTATTTAAAAGTAGTTTTTCTTAGTAATGTCAAATCAGATCATATCAATGCTATTATTCAGTTTTCTTGTAAAGTAAATGGCATTTGTAACAAGTGTAATCTTTACAACTGGAAATACTCACATGATCAATCATTAAAATTGTTCTTCTAAAGTCTTATTGAATTGTTTGATATTAGAAGCTTTAGCATCCCCACTTAAAACCAAACAATAAATACTTATCTATTATCTGCTAGAATACTCTAGAAGTTTGACAAAAGAGCATGCAAGAACTTTAAGAAAATAGAAAACCAGGAAGGTATTCCAAATCCTGTTTTCAGACTTGACAGGTGTAATAAAAGCTTATTTAATAAACTTTTTTTTTCAAATAAATATCTTTTCCTAGTTAAAGTAATGACAATGTTCATCTGATTAAAAGAAAACTGCCACCCTCCAACCAAGTGTTTAAAAAACTTGTATTGGATAATTGATACGTAAACTATTTTTAACATTTTTTTTTAAAGTGCAGTTATTATGGCTATGAATAAGTTTTACTTTTAATATTGAATGAAAGTAATGCTGAACTGATCTTGATGTCTTACACAGTTTTCTGGTAAATCAAAGATTAATTAAGACTTAAATCTGTCAAAAGATTTTGTAAAACTAGGAAACATTGACAAGTTAAGCCATTGACAGAACACCATATCTTAAAGCAGTAAGATAAATAGCTTTTATAAATTGATAGAATTGAGAATTTGTATAATTGTATCTTTCATTTTGTTTACATGTATGTAGGAATGTCTGGAGGGATATGTGAAAAACATAAATCATACAGAGAAAAGGTTGGAGGGCGAGAGGTGGAAACAAAAAGGAGTTTGAACACAGGAGTAATTACTTTCCTCAACTATAATAGTAGAGTTCCACCCAAAGTATCTGAGCTAACACTAGCTCATGAAATTGGTCACAATTTTGGATCACCAGTGAGTTTTAAACTAATAACTGTGTTAAGTGCTTTTATAACTATGTTAGTTGATTAGGAATCTATTGCTTCCAACTCTGTAGTTTTTCAGTTTCTAAGTTTGTTGAATGTAGCGAATCTTATCATAATATCAGTTTATTACTCAAGAACTGTTTATTCAGAAAAGCTGGAGTTCTAGTTAATGTCCTTAGTGATAGATAACAAATTTTATGTTATTTGACAAATGTTGCAACATGATAAGCATGATAGTACTTGAATTTGCCCCCCTCCCCTACTTGATATTGTATTTTTCTTTTCCTTAGACATATTAAAATAACAAAAAGGCTTCAAATCTAGTTATTAGTCCACGATGTTTTCTGCTGTGTTAAACTGTTTAACTTTTGTTTTTATTTTCAATTAAATATGACTGAAAATAAAAATTCAAAATGATAAAATATAATTTATGTAACTTAGGTTTAAGAATTTTGTTCTACATCATTTGTGTAACAAATTATAAAATTGATACAGTCCAGGTCTTGCTACACAGTATTTATTTACTCAAAAAGAATTCTGATTGAAAAATAAGTATTAAGTATTAAGAAATGAAAACATTTTAATGAAAACCAGTTCTACAACTGATATGAATTAAACTTTATATAATTTTGTTTTAAATTATTCAATGAAGTAACATTTCCTTGAACACTGTTAATTTTATAAAAATTATAGTTCAGTAAGTTACAAATCAGTCATTACAAGTTAATTTTAAATTGTAATTAGGTATTCCCTTTTTTTTCTGGTGAGTGAAATAAATTATTATTGGCTTTGAATGAGATTTAGTTCAAGTCTCTTTATAACACTGATAAATATTCATGGTAAATGAACAGGTGCTTTGTGTAGGCTGTAAGCAGCTGAAAACAGGATTTTGGCATTTCTTAAAATCTGAACAATATAGTCAGTGCTATTGGGTTAAATTACAAATAAGTCAGTGAAAATCAAACATGTATTGACTTTTTGTCTAAAAACTTGCAAATAAATGAATCACTAGCATAAGTTATAGTAGGGCATGTGACATAGCATAAATTGTATAAGTAAAATCAAGTCATTTTACTGGATTAATTTAATATGCTTTGTATTTATCAGGCAGTTCAGAAAGTATTTAAAGAACGAAATATATTCACTGAAAGTCCTTATGAACTATATTGTTCATAGCAATATTTTATGATATATTTTATTAATAAAAACAAGTTTTTTTTACACGTACACTGGAACTATTGACTTTAAATGTGTTAAAAGGTTATAGTGTTGACAACACACTGTTGAGCTTTGCAGGCTCTACCTTCCATTTACCTATGATTGTTTATACTATAACATCATTTATACAGTACATGTAAAAAAGATGTAAATGGAAAGAAATAGACTGTTGTAGAATCTGTATGTAAAGCATGTTTACATTTGTGGTGAAATTGAAGTATATTGGTTTAGTATATATGTGTGTTTACCTGTCTAGACTAAGTACTTAGCCATATTTGTTTCTGGTTAATGTTAAATTGCTGGTTATAGACATGTTTGATATATTGTATATTGAGAAGAAATTAATACATTTGCACTTTGGTTTTCATTGAGTTTTATCTATCTTATCAAAATAACATAAAGTACTTGTTTATAAGCCTTACATTTTGCTATGGACAGTTACTGGAAGTTAAAAAGCTTTCATTGAGTTTCACTATTTGCAAAGGTTCTGGTAAACCCAATTTTTGCATCTTATGCAATTGCTATTGAACCTGAGACCACGTGAACTGCAACCGAGTACTTTACCAACTGAGCAAGAATGCTCACCTACAGTAATTGCCAGTAAGGCTGTTTTAAACAATCGAAACTATTATATTTTTGCCCTCATGCGAACCAAGTCCATTCTTAGGCATTATTTCAGGATCATGAGACAATTGTTAGTTGAGCACCAATGTTTCTGTAGTAATCATCAGGGCTACGTATCAAAACAGAGCCTTTTTGTACACCGGGGAAGTATTCTATCAACTGTGCTGAAGATTTAACCCACTAATGACTGCTCATAAGGAATCTGTAAACAATTCAAACTACCACAAAATCAAGGTTTTTGTGTTAACATTTGTTCAGTGTGAAAATTATAAGCATTTGTGTAATACTTCAGTAATGTAGGAAATAAATATAATAAAATAAGACCATCTATACTTTAATGATATTAGTTTAGCTATAACAGGTTAGTAGGATTACTTATTCCAAAAATGTTTCCTCTGATTACTGTTATTGTTTTAGATAGCATCACGTTTTTCCCAATAAAGCAAATTAGTCCATTACATAGGTTGATTAATAATATATTAAAAATAGCTTATAAGTCATTTTAGAACTATGTTAAGTATAGCTAGAAGAATATATTTTGTATTAAAATTTCATTTTAAAAATACCTCTGTGGTAATCTAATTTATTTTTTTCTTTGGATCAGAGTTATGTGTAAATCTGACACCTCCTGCATGCCAAGTGAGTGCTTTACCAACTGAGTTAGTGTTAAGCCACTAGCAATTGCTATTAATTCTGTTCACAGGCTCAGTCAAATTGATAAACCCTGTATCTGTGAAGTCATACATAATAATGTTTACTATAATTCTGAATTTACTATTTAATTCTTCATGAAAGTTGGCAAGCTTTTAGTAAACATTACAGGTCTGTTGTATACAAAAATACTGTATATTTAGTAAAGTATTTTTGCTAAAGTTTGTCTGAGACTTTTGAAAGCCTTTGCTTGTAACTATGTATTGTTTGGAAACTGTAGTATTCTATTATAGAAGATAGAAAATTCTGAGTGCAGAATTTGGAACTCAGACCCATAACATAACACACAGAAAAATGAAGTTTGAGAACTTTGAGATTTTTTTTAAAATTAAGAACTAAAGCTTAGATTGTATACAAATTTGTATTATAAACTATGTTTTCTTGCCAAGTTTATTGAGGTACTTTGATAATAAAGTTAATCAATTAAATTTTGAATGTAGTAACACCAGAAACAGTTGTGAATGCACAAAAGAGCCAGGCCTGGATGCAAATGGTTAAAGCAGTTTTAACAATTCAAAACTACCACATTCGTTCCTTCTCAGAAACATACAAGGCATTAGTAACCTGTACCTTGATATTGCATAATTTTTCCAGATGATTCCATCCTTGGATTATCTCTGTGTTTTTATGGTATTATTTGACTGGAAGTTAGTGGAAGATGAGTTTCACATGTTGCTAGCCCAACTTTCCATTTCAGCTCTTGTGCAGTAAAGCACAATTGTTGGTTCTGTATATTTCTCCAAACAGTACTGTGTAGTAAATCTCTATACTTATAAAAGTAAAAAGAATTTTTTTTTTCTGTTGTTTTTGTCCATGAACTACTCCATCCATGGTTTTTGGACCAATCTCAACCAAACTTGGTAGAATGATGCATTGAATCAAGGAGCATCTCATAAGGCAGCTGTTACCTGGTTCCACCTATCTTGGGCCATCCCCACAGCAGAAATATTTGTTTAGCTAATGACTCTACAGTTTTAGATCAATTTTTATTCCTAAAAAATTTAATTTTATGTTTTTACTTGAAATTTTTTTTCATGTAAAGTATTGAGTTTTTTTCATTAAAAATGTCAAACATTCACATTCTTGCCAGGAAAAATGGCAACGAAAGCACAAGGCCAGATCCTTATAGTGGCAGGACTACATCTGAAAACTCCTTGCTTTTCACATGGTTAATTCTATGTTGAGTATTCAAAGAGTAGGATAACCAAGAAAGGAAGGAGGAAAAACTTCTAATGTGGTCTATCAAGAATCATTCAGAGTATCAACAAACACTAAGGCTGTAGAAAAGGATTAGTAAACGTAAAAAAGTAAAGTAATTGTAACACCATTTCTGTAAGTAGGTATGAATAAAGTAATTGTAACACCATTTCTGTAAGTAGGTATGAATAAAGTAATTGTAAAGTATGCATATTAATCAAAATTTTTGACTTAATGTATTATTTCAAACCCTACATTCAATCATCATGCCCCTGGTTGTAGGACAAGTGCTTCAGCTTGTGTATATATATGAAATTTCATATCTAGTTCTGTTGTAATGTTGAACCATCATACCAGTTAGGTACATTTTTTTGAAATGAATTGTTTGTTTTAAACAACATGTTAGTTAAGGTTGTCTCCCAGCTAATCCAGATAGGATATCTACACCTAAATATGTGGTATTTCTTGCAATTTTATGTATCTATTTTTTATATACTAATCATTTAAAGTAACAAAAAGACATTTCAAAATCACAATATGTAGTTTTGCATTGTTGTAAGCACATTTTTTTCTTGGTTTAATTGAGCATCTCATACTTTTTGTAGCATGATTATCCAAATTATTGTAAACCTGGTGGAGCAAATGGAAACTATATAATGTATGCCAGTGCAACCTCTGGGGATCGACCAAATAACAACAAATTTTCAAGCTGTAGCATTGGTAACATAAGCTCAGTTCTCCAGGCTGTTTTCGAAGAAGATGGAAAGCATAATTGTTTTTCAGGTATGAGAGCATTTGTGATAGTTTTGTAATTAACAAAAATATATTAGAAGCTTTGGCTCACTCACAAACAGATTCTGCATTAATATTTAATTTAACAGAAAAGACTATAAACATAAGATGTGAAACAAAGGATATCCAGCAGAGTAATTTTATGGTATTATATATAATAATTAGTGAACTTATCATTTTCTTATTTATTTTCAATAAACATTATAGTAGAATATGTATATACCTACATTAAAGTGGCTTTATTGAATGAATCCAGCCAAAAATGATTATATCATAAGCTTGCATAGGTTGATGTCAAGTGTTGTATAAATGAAGCTACTCAGTTTGTGTGCCTGGATATAAACTTTTGAAAATACAGTGGAATATGCCTTTTTACCTCTGTCTGTCTAGAAGTTAATGGGTCTTTCTGTGGAAACAAGATAGTTGAGGAAGGAGAGGAATGTGACTGTGGTTGGGATATAAATGAATGTGAAGAACAATGTTGTTATCCAAAGAAAATTGAGCCATTCCTTGATTATGAACCAGGTGCCAAACCTTGTACTCTAAGACCAGGTAAAAAGTGTAGGTAAGTTTGTAGTTGTAACCTATAATGAATTAATTGTAACTTAAAGTAATTTTCATACTTTAAGTCATAGAAGCATTTGCATAGACTTATGTACTCTCAAGCCATGCAGTTAATTTTAAAACAACACTGGTGATGAGTTCTACTGTCAAAAAAATTGTTACATTTTTTAATGAATGAAAGATAACTGAAATAGTTGTGACCAGATTAAGTGCTTTAAATTTCTGGCTGGTTAATTTGTTGATATTTTAAATTTAGTATAGAAATTGTCTTTTGTTTTTTCTTTTTTTTTAATTTGTGGATGAAAGTTATTCTTAATAATTTTTTATAAAAAATATCTGTAGTTATGATCAGTTATACATAAGTTATTTGTAATTTGTATTCACATTATAATTTTTAATTTATTGTGAATCCAGTTTCAGTTTTAGATTTTGGCTGCAAGATGTTTAAAACTAGTGTTAAATGTACTAATTGTTGTATATGTATGTGCAGAAAGCAGATAAATTATCATGGTTTTGCATCTTATTTTAGGACTGGATTTTCCAGTTGTTGTAACTTCTTTGTGTATGTGTTCTAGAATATTTGACTAGACTTGTATATTCAGTAATTTTGGCTACTGAATAATGAACTGTACAGTAATCTTATTTTGATTAGAAAAGGCATAAAAAAGTTAAGCACATTGATATGAGGTAAAATGTAACTTAAAGTTACTGGTGTTGAAGATACATAATGTGTACACTTCTATGGTCACATAATCCATATGGTTATGTTGTAGTGTTTAAATAGGTTTCAAAGTATTGATATTACAAACCATTATGTCTAATTAATCAGGGTCCACATACAGGTACTTGAAAAGCCTTTAAAATATTTGAAAATGACTTTTTCAAATAAAATCACTGAAACTTAGTAAAGTGTACATTTTAGTGCTGAAGTTTTGTAAAAGTCCTTTAAAGTGTTAACTTCTAGAAAAACTGACAATGATACCTAAAATCATTTCTATTGTAATTAGCGGCTAGCAACAATGGTGTATACTCTTGTGAAACTAAATTTGATAAAAATAGAATAGATATAAAAGCTGAGAGTCTAATCTTTATTATTAATATTGCCTTGTGAAAACTAATAACACCAGTTGCAGTATAATGAGATGTGATAGAAAAAAACTAATCATACAACCAGTGTTAAATAGTTGCATTAACCCATTAGCATCTAAAGTGACTGAAAGAGTACAGGTGTTTCAAGTTAATTCATTAGTTTTTTTTTAATACTATGTATCCCTCCTGGCAAGAGGTAAAAGTTCAAGTTTTACTTTAAGAAAAGCTACTGTCATTAGAGCCACTGAGAAAATTCAAAATTGTGCTTAATTTTACCTAACAGGGATTATCATTAATAAAAAAACTTAGTATTCCAAAAATTGTTGAATTTTGAACTCTAAGGTCAAGAGAGGTTCTGTTCAGTCTACACTTTGATCAACGTGTGTTATTGGCTTATACTAGTTTTGGAGAATTCCACTCCTTGTCAGCAACCCTGAGCACAAGTTAACCATATCATAGTAGTGAAAAGTATCATGTGATCTGTATGTTTGAAATATAATTTCTTATACGGTATATCACCTCCTCTCACATAAATAGCTATTCTCCTTCAGTGCTGCCCTCTATATGCCAAAATGTTTTTTCACATGCCACAAGCCTTGAGCTCCCATGTACCTTACAAATAATTGATTCAAATGCATATCGCATGTAAATCATTATGCGACAACTCTCCACCAGTAAGAATGCAACAAACACTATTGATGCATGTGACTTCCTCTACTCGATTTTACCAAACTATCACTTCCTGTTTGGCAGTACTCGTGTCAAGATGGTTTTTTTGTGCTCTTCGAATTTGTTCGTCTTAATGATTTTTTTGTTATTATTCGAAAGTGGATTTTTTTGTTTTTCTTTATTTTTAAAAAGTTAACGACTTTCAGATAACATTTTCCCAGATTTTCATTTTTTTTCATTAAACAGTTGTGTTTGATTTTCATTTTTACGCAATTAATTCTGAAATTGAAGTTACCACTTTGGAGATCATACCTTCTACTAGCACACTCACACAGGCTACAGGGGGTGACTCATCTTTGGATTTATCGGCTATCATCCACTGTGAGATTGACTGTTATATGAATCAACCTGTTTTTCCTGATTTTGACCCTATTCCTCCTGATCGTGCCAAACCTGTTTGGGTTGATGAGGGTTTTGAAAGCCTTTTTCCTCCACCAGATTTTATTGTGTTTTCCTATACCCCTACTGTGGATGCAGCTAAGCCTAATACAGTTTTTTTAGACATGATTTCTCAGGTATGTTCTATTTTATCCATTTTCCCAATTTCGTATGACTCCTGTCCTTTGTTGCATGATACTTCCTCCTCTCAGCATTTGGTTTTCCCCACTTCTCCAGATATTAGGGTTCATGCCAAGCATTTGGTTGGGAGTTCCAGCATGCCTCTTCTTCCACAGGATTGGGATCAGTTTGCCTTGGTGTACCATCAGGCTGAATGTCTGTTTCTTGATTCTCAACGGTCAGAATTGATTTTGCTTGTGTGAGGGTGAACCCTGATCATCCTGTTTGTTTATCCCACACCTAATTTTCCCACCTTTGTCTTGTCCCATCGACTCTCCTATGGTACTTGTCTACTATCCTCTTTCTTTCTGAGGTGATCTACAGAGTTCCTCAGGGTTCTTCATGGGATTGCCTCTCCCTGATTACCTCCACATTTGCACGTTCGTCTTCTTCAGCTCTGGTCTTACACACATGGTTTCTCTGTTGTTTGGATCTCCTGGGAAGGGACACAGCCTTGTCCTGGGTTCATTTACCCTCTGCTTATTTCTGGAACTTATGGTGTCTTTTCTTCAATGGTATGTTTTTAGTAATATTTCTGAGACTTTGGAATCCCATGTGGAATTGGTGCAACAGCAAACTACCCTTTCTTCTTTGGTGAATCGTTTGTTGCATTCTGAGCCTAGACATGCCTCTGTTACTGTTTTCCATCTATCTCCCTCTTAGCCCTTATCTGTTCCTCCCCCCATCATTTATTCCATGCAGATGGACACGTTGCCAACAGTACTGGTAACTACTCGGTGGGTTCTGGTCCAATGGGGTTTGCACGTCTGAACTTGTTCCCCTTTGACAATTTTTTGCCACAGTTCTGTGGGTTATTCAGATATTATGTGGGAAGCTTGTCATCTAATTTCTTTCCTCTCCTCCATTATCTCAAATACTCATTTCTTTTCCATTGCCTTGGGATCCTACCACAATTCAGCATCTGTCCAAAGCAGTACAGGATCTTCTCTTCCAGCAGGCCATTGAACCTGTCAGTCATCCTTCTTCAGGTTTTTATTCCAGGCCTTTTGTAGAGCACAAGAAAACCCCTGAGACTCGCGGCCTATGATTGATTTGTCCCTTCACAATCAACTTTTGGTTCTCCCCCGATATACCATGGAGTCTTTTCTCACCCTCAGGTGGGTTTTTACTGGGTTTATGGATGACCAAGGTAGACATCTTCTACCTGCATATCCCAGTACTTTGTTAGTCGAGATGCTATCTTCAGTTTGTTCATCAGGGGGTAGTTTATCAATCTTGCACCCTGCCCTTTGGGCTTGCTTCAACCCAGTATGTCTTTTGTTAGGTGGTCAAGGCATTTGCACAACATTTACATGCTTGGGGTTGCAATTTCATCATTACATGGATGAATAACTTCTGTTTGCTCGTTCCAAACAGGAGTCCTCCTATAACACTCATCTGCTGCTCCACTCCTGGGGGCAGCTCATGTGGGCTGGTTAATCAAGTTGAAGAAATTATTATACTTACCCAATATCTTGTCCACTTGGGTGTCTTTTTTTCAACACTCATCGCAGTTGGGCCCAATGTTCTCCTCTTTGACTTCATTTGATGGGGTTTTCAGTTCTCCATATCCTTACTGCTCCCTCTCTTACAGCTCATCAGGTTCTATCTCTTTTAGGGAAGCGGTTTTCTATGGTAGTTCTTATCCCCTTTGGGCGAGCACATATGCAGTCTCTTTAGTGGACTCTGCACAACCAATGGAATCTTGCATGGGAAGGTAAGTTGGAGGCTCCTATTTACCTTCCTCTCTCCCTTGTAGGCAACTTGCATTGGTGGTTGAATAAGGCTCATATGTTGGCGGATGTTCTGCTTCCTCCCCCGAGTCTGGATTTACATATCTTCATGGACACTTCCCTTCTGTGCTGGGGGCATGGATCGATCAGCAGGAAGCTTCAGGTCAGTGGTCTCTGGCCAAATGATCTTACCATATGAACATCCTGGTGCTTCTGGCTGTGTATCATGCTTTGGATAATTTTCTTTATCTTGCCAGAATCGTCTGATCATTCCGACAATTCTACAGAGGTGGCTTATCTCAGTTACCAAGGCAGCACCCATTCTCATTCCCTTTGTGGTTGGACTTTAGATCTCCATTTTTTGGGCCCAAATGCTTGGTATTTGTATCACTGTGTGTCATGTTCCGGGTGCATTCAATCTTGTTGCGGACTGTCCTTCCCATCCAGAAAAAATTTATCTGATGGAGTGGTCTCTCAATCCTCTTGTTTTCCAGTAGCTATGCCTTCAATGGGGTACTCCTCACCTGGATGCATTTGCCACATCCCTCAATATCAAATTACCTCTGTTTTGGTCTCCAGTTCATCATTCTCTTGCTCTGTTTGTTGATGCTTTCATTCAAGATTGGACTAACAAATATCTGTATATTTATCCTCCCATCCGTCTTCTTCACAGGGTGATCTCAATCATCCATGCCACTCCGTGTCACGTCCTACTGGTTGGAACGACCATGGTTTTCGCAGCTGCTCCATCTCTAATCTACCTCTCTTTTACATCTTCCTTCATCCCTTTTATGTCAACCTCGGTCACTTGCATTTCATTGGCCCTTCATATCCTATGTCTTCATGCCTGGTTTTTATCCAGCCCTTGGTGAGGATATCCGGTTTGTCCCTGAGAGGTCACTTCTTTTTTACCTTCCTTCCTATAGGGATAAGTGGAATGTTTTTCTTCATTGGTCATTGGGTCAGGGGTTTTCACCCACCAGACCCACTATTCCTCATATTACAGATTTCCTCACTTGGCTCTTTGATCAGGGGTCTTCTGTCTACTTGATTGCAGGTTATTGGGTTGCCTTATCCCACACTTTTAATTTTTCCCAGTCCCGTAAAATTTTTACCTCTCCTACCTATTCCCTTTTGTTGCATTCCTTCTGGATTGGTCATCCACCTTGGTGTGCTGTCCTTTAAGATTGGGATGTTAATGTGGTTCTTTACTGTCTCACTTTGCCTTCATATGAACTGCTGTCTTCATGTTCGATTTGTTCACTTATTCCTTAAGACTTATTTCCTTCTCCTCTTCGCCTGTTGACATCATTGGTCAGATTTATTTTCAATTGATGTTTCACATACTCTATATAATTTTGCATATATTCTCCTTTATCTGGATCAATCTTTCCTTCCCAAAACTTCTAAGGCTTGGGAAGGTAATTCCTCCTTCTTGCCGATTTCCCTTCTTTCCATTTCTCACCTTTATCCTTGGTCGGATCTGAATAGGCTACTATGTCCTGTCCGTGCTCTTCATTTGTATGTTACCTGCATGGCTTCCTTCTGTGGTGTCTGTTCCTACCTATTCATTCCTTTGCAGATATTCTCTGTTCGTGACCTTTCTCCTTCCATCCTGACCAATTGGATTTGGCTTTTAATTCAATTGGCTTATTCTTCTTTAACTTCTTCCCCTAATATGTTACAGGTGTCTTCTTGTCAGATCAGGCATCTTACCTTTTCCATGGCACCTCATCTCTGCCATCCCTTGGAGGAAATTCTTCAATCGGGCATGTAGACTACTCCACATATGTTCATATCTCACTATTTGCAACAGATTGCTGTATATTCATCTTCAGGTTATCGTCTTCTGCCTGTAGCCATTCTACAGACTTCGGTGAGACTGTGACTGGGTAAGTTATCTTTTATATCTTCTTTTTTTGGGGCTTTCTCCTTCTTTTCTTTATTGTCTGGATCATGCTCTGTGGTGAGTGGTGCCTAACTAGGTACACTTCTCATAGTCAAATGTGCACTGTCAGGCCATGTTGATTGCTTATTTCTAATTTCCATGGTCATAACATGTTCACTGTTGAGATGGGATGTTCCACAAGATTGCATGTAGGTTTGTCCTCACAATATTTGTGCATCATTAATATGGCTGTTCCAGACAGTACTCACTCATGGACTTCTTGAGTAAAGTTGAAGGGGATAGCTGCCCATCCCTGCCATGCTTTAGATTGAATAAATCAGGTATGGTTCAAAATAGGGTTTTTGTGGTCACCCATTGCACTATCTCCAGTGTTGTTTTTCCCCCAGACCATGGAGGCATTCTCCTGAATGTATGAATGATAAAATATACATATATAATTATAAAACCATTCAGCTGAGAGTAGGGCGATGGTGTTCTGCTGGTGTAGATGATGAGATGTCCTCCAATCTGATGTTCCATCTCTGTACAGGGTTATCTGAAGGGATGTGTCAGCTTCAGAGTGAGCCATCAAAATTGCACTTCACTCCCTCAGTTGGGATCCACCATTCTACCCCCATGTGGATGTTGGTTCCCAGAAGCTGGGTTTTGGATTCAGAGCTGAACCAATCAACATAAGTCCTCACACATGTATTACAGGTGTCTCAAATATACTCTTGTTCCACCATCCGTGTTGTGGGCCACGGTGGAGGTACTTGCAGATTAGTATTGTTCTTCCTCTTATGCTATCCCTTGAGGATGTTATTGCACTAGAGGAGGTTCCTGTCAATTTAGTTTGAGTGAGATAGTTTACATTACAAAAACATCTTTACGATACTGAAAGTTGGGTTCCCGGATCAGTCAATCACTTTGTCACATTGCTATAATACTTCCTGTTCATAGATTGGGTGGTATGATATCTTCTCTGGCATGCTGAACTTGAGGTGAAAACTGTATGATCCTCTTTCCTACCCCCCACCGGATGGCTAGGTTTTGGATTGCAGTTGACTTGCTGGCAGTATGATCCTTATCCTACCCCTGCATGGATGTCGGTTCCCAGCAGCCCTTATTTTGGATGCATTTGACTTGCCCTAGCCACTCTATACCTAGGGGCATATCCTTTCACTTTCACCCACATTCCAGTATTATGAGGAGATTTGTTATAAGGTGGTTTGGCTTCCTATCCTACCATTGTTATCTCCCGTATGGATGTGCTTCTTCCTTTTTTTTCTGCGACACCTCATTCTAAACTGGGCAAAGATTATACCTGGTACAGATGTCGTACGTGTCTCCCATATATGATCCTATCCTTTTAGGGTGTTCTTTGGATGCTTTTGAGGAATGCTGCTTGGTTTTTCCCTTGCACTGGTCCCTCCACCTATTCAATGTGGGATTCTAGCTATTTATGTGAGAGGAGGTAACTTCCCATATCGGAAGTTATAATTTTCCCTTACTTGAAATATATTTCCGATAAGTACTTACCTCATCTCACACTTCCCACCCTTCCTCCTCACTGAAAACTGGTGCTTCCACTTTCTGCCAAAACTCGAAGTGATAGTTTGATAGAGGAGTCCCATGCGTCAAGAGTGCATCACAAACTTATTGGTGGAGGGTTGTCGCATGATGATTTACATGCGAGACACATTTGAATCAGTTGATTGCCAGGTGTGTGGGAACTCAAGGCTTGTGGCATGTGAAATAAAAAAGCATATAGAGGGTAGCACTGAACGAGAAGAGCTATTTATTTTAGGGGTGGAAAGTACCTATCGAAAATATGTTTTCAGTATAGGAAAATTATAACTTTCTACATTTTGTTAAAATTAAATGTTCATAAAATCCTGATTTTTTTTTAAAACAGGCTGGTTGTATGTAGTGTTGGTGTAGTCTGATTGTACAATGCTTAGGTGTAGTTATTTTGACTGGAAAGAGACGTAAATTGCACACTTCCTGTCATATTATGTGAAGCATATAAACTGAGATCTATTCTTAAAGAAAAGTTTTTATATGTCTTCTTCTTGAGTGTTGTTGTACAAATGATGCATACAATACACATACATGTATGCCAGTAATTCTCCTTTCAACTTGATACATGGACTTTAGTGATAGAAATAAGTTTGTATGAACTTTCATAATATACATCATTACAAAAGCTTTGTACACTATATTAAAATGATTTTAGAGCGTCTCCATATTGTAATAGTCCATATTGCTACTTCCATTCATGCTCTATCTGATGATCTGTTGGTTAAATTAGTAGCCATATTGGATGTTTTTATTACTAGTAATATTATTAATACGTTGGTGGAAGTACTTGAGTTATACATGTAGCTAACCATAGAGTATCTATAGTTCTCCTAATTAATAATTATTTACTATGTTAAATAATGGAAGTTATTCAGAATGCATGTGTCTGTTTAGGTAAGTTAACATTAAACAAATACTGACATAAATACTAGTTATACATATGGCTCAATAACGGACAATCTGTGTGAAAGACATTCAATATATCCTCTGATCTAACTTAAATGTGAGAAAACATTTCAGACTGTTTATGTAAGGAACCCAATTTGCTGTGTATGGACTTGTACTTTAGCTTAGGTAATATTCTAAGTAAAGTATTTTAATAAATATATATAATTATATAAACATGTAAAATAACACAAGTAAAGAACTATATCCCTTATTGCCTTTACCATCATATAGCCCAAGTAAAGGCCCTTGTTGCAAGGAATCCTGTGAGTTTGAGGAGGAGAATATAAAATGTCGAGATGAATCTGAGTGCAGCAAAGAAGCCCTTTGTGAATATCCTTTTATGGAAGTAATCTAGGGATTTTTTAAAATTACTGAATTGATTAAAAGTTATTGAATGCTATAGCTAATGTAACTGATGTCTAAAAACTATATGAACTTGTAATTAACATATAAGATTATAGTTAATCTGTTGATTTTTACAGGATGAGAAGGTATTTTAAATTTTAACCTTCATTGGTATTTTCTCTACTGAGCATTCTCATAGGGGTAATAAAAATTGTTTCTTCAAGTGGGCAGCCATAAAGCATGTGGCTGTAAATAAGTAAAACTCATTGTATAATTGCTTTCTGATGAAAGAAAGGTTTGAGGAAAATTGTATTTGCCCTGACTGATTAATACTGGTTTACTAGCTGACTGTCCAGACTCGTTACCAAAAGATAACAAAACTATATGTAATGGAGAAACCCAGGTTTGTTGGAATGGTCAGTGTGTTGGTTCAATATGTGAAAAATACAACCTAGAAGAATGCTTTCTCACTGAGAACGTCAGTAACAAAGAAGAAATGTGTGATGTGGCTTGCAAGGAACCAGGTAATTTATAGGTTTGTTGATTTTTATATTTTACTTGTATATCATTTTCTATTCTTTTCTCTGAACTATTACTCTCATTTAAGCATTGTTTTTTTTTTATTTTTGACATTAATTCTACATAACCATGTCTTTCATCTTTATAGATTTGTAGTTCAAAACCTTTAAAGCTAGAACTGCATAAAGCTTTGTGTAACAGAAGTTATCATTATTAAAAATAAGAGTATAAAAGATCAGTAATATTACATTGAAGTATAAACACACTAATCACTCCACTCATAAGTAAGAATAAATTAGAATATTATTAAAAATAATCAGAAACTAAATTGAAGAACCTTGTCAATAAACTTAAATATTGTTAAAAATCATTCCAAGGGTGTTGCATGATGCATTTTTAGTGAAATGTTTACTTCATAATTTAATTTAAGTTTTGTCCCTTTCACCAGTGTCTTCAGTTTAAATTATGTAGTTTTTTATTAAATACCTTAGACTGCCATATACTTAAAGTAGTTTTTAGAGACTCAGCTGGTAAAGTATTGTCATTTGGTAATAATATAATTAATACCTTTACATCTATTCAAGGTATGAATATTTTAAAAATCAAATATATCTATGGCTTAAGCAGACCATGTTGTTATTTTTTATTTCATGAAAAACAATGACCTTTTTTTTAATAATGTGGGCTATTAAATTCAACTGAAGCCTAAGTTCTTCACAATAACTACACTTTTTGTATGTTTTATTTTTAAATGAAATAATCAAAAATTTCAGAACATTCTTTTGGCTTTAAGTGAAAAATTTCCTTAGCTTGCCTTATACTGTTACTAGAAGGTCAGCATACATCTATAGAAAATGCAGTAAGGTGCTAAGTGATCTCAGTCTGGCTACCTAAGTTTTTATTGTTGCAAGGTTGTGTTCATGATCATTTTGATGTTTTACTTTTTTTATGTAGTGTATATGCTACAGAGAGTTGAATACATAATATTTAAATGATTTTGAATATGCAATCAGAAAGTCATGTGACAATTACAGCTGATACATAAAGTCACAAATGAATGGAATGTATCAGAACTACATTGTGACATTGTTTGATGTTTTTAAGGTAGATCGATGACATAAAATAATCATACACTTAGGTCATAAAAATGTGTTCAGATCAGGGATTTAGAATTTCCAAGATAGAGATATCTCTTGTACTGAATGGCATTGGAAAACAGTAATATGGATTAACTTGAGGCACCAGGACCATCTATAAGTATATCTGCAATTACTTGTATCCCATCTATGGTAAGCAAATTGTGGCATCTTGTCTCACGTGAGAATCCACAAACACAAAGGCCAGTGACAAAACATAATTAAGAAGGATCTCCATCTGGAAAAAAGGCAAACAAGGTATGAGTTCAACTAGATTAGGTTTCTAATCATACTTCCCATTCAATCTTTGCATACATCAAGCAGCTGGAGAAGGTGACTATTCATGCTATTTCTTACAAAGACATACTGGTCAAGTTGCTGGATACAGCACCTATGAATTTCTGTGTGACCAGACTGTTGAAACCATTTCTCGTGCACTAGATGAATCTTGTAAAGCAAACAAGGAGGTGTAGTGTGCTTTGTATGTGATAATCTTATAAGAAGGCCTTTTGCAATGAAAACTATGCTGTAGGACTATTGTTAAGATGCATAGTTTTCAGATAAAGCATGGCTGGACATAGTGGGCTAAAATATTTTACTATGGTATGCTTCATGTTCAAAGAACAAAATTTCAAGTTCTGATGAAAAACTTTTATATGTATTTGTTTTTGATTACTTATGCTTAGTTAACTAAGACTGATAAAATATATATTTTTTTAAATTAGTTCAAAATAAGCCCTTACTTTTCATATACAAAAATGGCGCTAGTAGTGAGGGTACCCAACTGATGACATAGTGCAGAGTGATCATTAGTGCTGGGCAATTAATATGGTTAATTAATATAATTACCTATGAGCATCAGCTAAATTGAAGTGTCATGTCAAATAGTTGATTTATCAAAAATTATAGTTAAACCAAGTAATGTCACAATTATTACTGTTTTTGATTATTCTAACTATCCAACTAATTGAAGTATTGCCATTATTTTTTCTTATCGTTATTTTGGGTTAATTCATAGATGTTAAGTATAATTGATTAATATCAAAACTTGCAAAAATAGTCAACTAACCAAAATAAATATTTCCAGTTATTACTGTTTATGATTATTCCAACTATTCAAGTCTCACATGAGACTAATTGATAAGTTGAATGTAATTGGATAATGATCCCAATGATGAATTGATTAATGAATTCCACTTTGCTTTAGTGTTCATAGAAGCATTTCATTGTTTGCTTGTTATTCATAATTAAGACTATTTATTATTAACTGTAATTGTTATTATAGATTTTTTATCAGCTCTTCTGGTAGAAGTTATTACATAACTTAGTATTTTGAAATGTTTTATTTGTTGAAAAAAACAGCTTCTATTACATAGTATAACCAAAACTTTTGAGTGATATAAAGAAAAACAACTTTTCACAAGTTTCATGTTTAAGTGATATTTAAACTAATAGCATGAATTATTTCTCTGTTGAAAGAACTTACGCTTTTAAATGATCATATGTTTATGTTTAATGTACCAACATGAATTTCATTGTTCAGTACAGTTTGAAATATGATATCTACTAAAAGGTAAGTTTAATTGCTTATTATCAATTATGAATAATTTCCAGTTCTTATACCTTAACAGATCAATATGATTTTTTTGCAGGGAAGAACAAACCTTGTATGAGTATTGACAAGATAAGAGATATGAAGAAATTAAAACTTAGACCAGGCTCACCATGTAACAATTTCAAAGGTTACTGTGATGTGTTTCAAGTTTGTAGATCTGTAGATGCTGAAGGACCATTAGCTCGACTTAAAAACTTGCTCTTGGATAAAAATACTCTAATGGATATCAAGGAGTTTGTGACGGTAAGACTAGCATGAGTATGTCACTTTTTAACACATTACACAAGGTATTGGTAATGATGAGAATGCAGATGTATTGAATCCCATGATAAAACTTATCATTTTTTATTTTGTAGAAATTTGCTTCATTGCATTAATAATGTAAAAAACTTTATAGATCAGTTTTAAACATTGTTGAATTTGAAAGAAAATGAAAAACTGAGTGAAATTTTGAAGTTTCATCTGTTCTAGTAAAAAACTAACTTTGTAAGATATAATTAGTATATCTGCTAAGGGTTAGTTGCAGCTTATAAGAATGATGTACTGCCCTTGGAACTACATGTACTTCTGTCATTTTTGAGAGTGCTCAAGCTGATGACAGTGGTTTTGCATTTTTGCTTGACACTACAATTTCCATTGCAGTAAGCTTTTTGCAGCATTATATTCTCAATTTTAGACCCCATGTCTTGAGAAACTTTTCACAGACCTTTCATTCTATGAGAACACTAGCTTCCAGAACCATGTTTAAGCAATGGACACAACTGTAGTAAAGCTGTTTAAGGAGACTTGACAGGTACATGGTCCAGGGTTTGCACAGGTTCTTGAAAAGTCCTGAAAAGTGCTTTAATTACACTTAGTGAAATTTCAATACGATAACTTACCTCTTTCCACATAATAAATTTTCTCAACAACTACTGCCATCTACATGTAAAAATTTTTGCTCTCCACTAGCCTTGTGCTCCCACTTACATCTATGTGTTTTCATGTGTTACAGCTGCATTGTAGCATGCAAATGAGCATGTGACACACACTCCTATTGAAGCTGACTCCCTCTATACTGTAGAACCCAATCTTCACTTCTTGATTTGGCATACTGAAGTGCAGATGTTTCACTTCTGCTTGTTTTTACTTAATTTTTTTAATATTCAACCTAATTTTTCAACAAATAACAGTGGTTTTACATTCTGTGTAATTAATTGATAATTTCTGATTTTAATTTGTTTTATCTACTCAAGTTTCTTTTCTTTGAATTCTCAAAATAGTGTTACAACTACTACTTCTTTTGTAACACTTGCCACTGTACAACAACTCCGGTATTTCAGTAAGGTGATTTTGGCCTTCTTTTGCTGCAAATTGGTTCTATCATGCGACTTGATATGAAGCTTGTACCAGGGTCAGATGTACCACTCCCTGTTTGTATTATGATGTTTCGAACAGCCTTTTCCCACCTCCTTTGTTTGCTGTGCAGTCAAGGGCTATGCTTATGAATGTTCACATTTTTCGTTGACCATTCCTTGACATAATTTCCAAGTTATGAAACCTTTTGCCTGTTTGTTAGTTTACTTTTCTTGTACAGATTTCAGGGTCCATACTGTTTAGTTCATAACCAAGTTAGTTACCTTCTGGGCTCTGCATTTGTTCCTGGATTCTCAAACCTTTGAGTCTTTCATTCAGGTGTAGGAAGCACACTGAAAATGTAATGTATTTTTCTCAGGCTCATTTTTCCCATTTGCATCTACCCTTTCCCCATTTTCTTCGTTACCTTTTTCTACACACCTCTTCCTCACCATGTCCATCCACCTTGCCTCTGTGGGTTTTTTTGGAAGAATCGTACCCTCTTTTTCTTCCTCTTCTTTTGTACCTATATACTTGGCTCTTCTGTTGTCTGGAATCTTCTTGGTGGTATGCACTGTTTACTCTAGTGTGTCTCCCTCCTCCAATTCTTTGTTGCCCTTTGTTTGGTGCCATATTGGCAACTGTCAGTGTTCTGGAGTCTTCCTACCTTGTTGAAGTCCATCGTGATACCTTCTTGTCAATTTTCCTCCTTGTTTTCCGAAATTCCCAACCGTATTATAACCTGTTCCTGTGTTATAAACTCCTCCTCCTTCCTCTTTCCCAATGAATTCTTTACAGGTTTCAGGGATAAGCTGCGTTTCCTACATGCATTTGCCATAGATACTTGGGTGCTTCATGTATGGATAGGACTCTCCTTTTCCCATCCACCACTCCTCACAGAACTTTTCTTTACCTCCTCTTTGGGATTCCTTTTCTTAATTACCAGCGTCTATCAAAATTGTTACGGGTTCTTCTAAATTGGGATGCTATCTGACCAGTCAATTACCCTTATGTTGGGTTCTATTCCTGGTTGTTTGTAATTCGTTGTCACAGCAGAGTTGATGTTCCTGTAATCATTCTCCAACCTAGACCATTTCATTGACCTTCTTTGTTCTGCAATGGAGTTGTTTTTTTCATCCTTGGGTGAGTTTTTACTTTAGGTGTTTGGTTTATCAAGGTGGACATCTCGGATGCTTACCTTCACATACCTATTTTCCTCTGTATCCCAGCATTGCCTTTGTTCTGAAATGGCCTTACCTCATCTCACTCAGTTCTCTCGATCCTGGTTTGACCTCTAAGCATTGGTAGAGTTTTTTGCTAACAGCACACCAGTCTTTTATACCCCATGAATTTTGTGCCATTTCAGAACATATGCTGATCATGTGACTACCCTCCACCAATTATACTGCACAATCTATTCTAGCACAGCTACCTCCCTTTACTGTTCTAGAACAATCCTCACTTTTTCAATTGGCATTTTAGTGTATAGACGTGTGTTTTAACAGCACACCAGTCTTTTATACCCCATGAATTTTGTGCCATTTCAGAACATATGCTGATCATGTGACTACCCTCCACCAATTATACTGCACAATCTATTCTAGCACAGCTACCTCCCTCTACTGTTCTAGAACAATCCTCACTTTTTCAATTGGCATTTTAGTGTATAGACGTGTGTTTTAACTCATTCTCCATGTGACTACAAAAGTTTGGTTGTGATTGATCACGAACTTATATCAGTTTCAACATCAAGTTTCGACTTGTGTGTTTGATTTCCATTGTTTCTACTCATTCGTTTAAGAAATATTTCTGTTTTCTGAATTCTAATTTGTTCATATGCATTCAAGATTTAATATGGCAGATGATGAAATTCCTGTGACAGTAGACAATGGTTCTGACACGAGTCCCCAGGTTTCAGGGTTGACTATGGCTGCTGGGGAACCACAGGCTTTAGTTCGTGGGGAGTCCTACATTTGGCTGACGATTTCTTCCTTTCGTGTTATGATTTTTTGTGGGTAAGGATATAACTACTGAATGGAAATTTCTTTCTGTGGCACTTTCCACTTGTTACCGTGCCTCCATGTAACCTGCTGGGTTAGGTATTGTTCTCTTTCCCAGGATATCTGTGGTAAGTTTCTCAGCATGTATTCCTCACTCCCAGTAGTTTTACCCATTTTGAGTGAGTTTATGGGAGCTTGTGTGGCTAGACCTAATTTCTGCTCTCGATAATTTAGAACTTTCATGTATTCTTTGCTCAGTATTTGGTAAGCTAGATTTTATAATTCTTTTACCATATAAGTTACTTTAGTGTAAAATTGCGTATATAGCTTGATTATTACTTTGTTTTTGTTTAATTTTCGGTACATGTACGGGTTTTGCACGATTATTACTGTTTGGGTAATGGTAATTTTAGTTAATTTTGTGGGTGTTTTATTTCGTTATTATTATTCTTTTCACTGTTTATGTTATTTAGTTTGTAAGTTCCTTTTTCTTTACTATTAGTTACATCCAATTATGGTTTAGATTTGAGTCAGAATTTGTTATTGTTGACTGTGTGCCTTTTTATTCTCATGTTCTTCAGGGTAGATTTTACTTTCGTGTCAGTATTTACGGGTCTTTTATCTTCTAAGTTTCTTTAATGGTTTTGTACTTTAGGTGTTGCTTATTGTTTTATTTTTTAGGTCGAATTTTTTAGTTTTGCAGGTTTGTTATTTTTATGTACTTTATAGACTACAGATTTTTAAGTTTGTTAGTAATGAGTACTTTCTCTAAGTATGTTTAATTTATGTGTCTTTTTGGCTACACTTCACAACAGTTTTGTGGGTTCTATCTGAAAATTTCTGCCTTCAGTTCCACTCCCCCCTCTACCAACTTCTCTGATCTCCTTCCCTCCTCCTTGGGATTGTAATTCATCCAGTTGTCTTGCTGAGTCTGTTTGAGACCTCCTACACAAAGGAGCTATCAAATGGGTGGTACCCACTCAACTGGGATTTTAGTCCCATCTATTTGTTGTCCCCCCAAAACACAGGAGATTGGCCACCTCAGACGTGGATCCATCTGCTCTGGCCCTTACTGGAGCAACAGCCCCTGCCCTTCCCTTTGTCCTCTGACACACATGATCAGACATATTTCATCCCAATGCCACCAAACTCCATTTTCACATGTGGCTTTTGTCCGGTTCCTTGCCTCAGCTCAGGGACTCACCCCTCATGTAGTGTCTTTCCTTGCCTGTATCATTCGCCCTTCCTTCTTGTCCACATACCAGAAGCATTGGTCTTACTTCTGACTTTGGCCCATTTGCAATGGCTTCTGACCATCTCCTCCTTCTGTTTCTCACTTGTTCCATTTCTTCACCTGGTTGTTTGATCAGGGATTGTCTGTTTCAAATGTTGCTCGTTATAGGGCTGCCTTGTCAAACATCTTCCATTCTGCTTCTGGAAAGTATTTCCCTCCTTTTCTGTTCCTTTTGCCTGATCCATTCACTCAGAGTTGTCCTTCGTGCCCTGTCCGGTTTTTCCTTTGAAGCCATTGCAATGTGTTTCTTGTACCATCTTTCCCTTAAGAACTATTTCCTCCCTCTGCTGGCATGTGCTCATCTTCATTCCAATATTTATACCATTAATGTTTCTCACATTTTTTAGCATTCCTTGTAAGTTATCTTCAATACAGATCAGGCCTTCCTTTCCAGAACATCAGTGAAGGTTGTTTAGCCTTTTCTCCTATTTCCTTTCATTCCATTTCCCACCTGTACTCCCATTTTGATCCATATTAACTACTTTGTCCAGTTCATTCCCTGCTATGTTATATATGGCGCCTACAGCTTCCTTTTGTGGTTCTCATTCGTGTATCTTTGTTCTGTGGAATTTCTCTGTTTCCTCTGATCTATCACCTATTACACTCACTGGTTG